CGGGGACGCTGAGCCCCGAAATCAACTCAAGGTAATCTCAAGGTAGGTAACCCTACCCCAACCCAACCAACCCTTCCCCTCCCCTAATGAACGCGCCTCGAACCCCATCTTGAGGTTATCTTGAGATGATTTCGGGGCTTTAGTGTCCCCGCGGCCCGGTCCTCGACCAGGCCTCCACCCCCAGGAAGCAGCCCGTGACAGCTGACTAACACCCAGGTACCTATTTTACTGCTAGGTAACAGGGGGCATAGGGTGAAAGCAACTCTGCCCATTGTTTCTCCCCGGCGCCTGGGATCGAACTCGGGACCACAGGATCACAAGTCCAGCGTGCTGTCCGCTCGGCCGACCGGCTCCCATACGACAGTTCCTGACCCATGGCCAGCCTAATACACCTTTTTTAATATGCAAATATGGTCGATATTAGCGTAGAGGAGCGAGGCCCCTGGCGGTGGCTCCATCCATCAAAGGGGCACCAATAATGGCCAGGGGGACCCATTAGTGGTCGTGGCTGGACCACCAACCAGCGCCCTCACCCACACAACACCTGACTCGACGGTGACAACACCTGTGTATAATGTGTCAGGGGTCCCAACACCTGTGTATAATGTGCCAGGGGTCCCAACACCTGTGTATAATGTGTCAGGGGTCCCAACACCTGTGTATAATGTGCCAGGGGTCCCAACACCTGTGTATAATGTGCCAGGGGTCCCAACACCTGTGTATAATGTGCCAGGGGTCCCAACACCTGTGTATAATGTGCCAGGGGTCCCAACACCTGTGTATAATGTGCCAGGGGTCCCAACACCTGTGTATAATGTGCCAGGGGTCACAACACCTGTGTATAATGTGCCAGGGGTCCCAACACCTGTGTATAATGTGCCAGGGGTCCCAACACCTGTGTGTAATGTGTCAGGGGTCCCAACACCTGTGTGTAATGTGTCAGGGGTCCCAACACCTGTGTATAATGTGCCAGGGGTCCCAACACCTGTGTATAATGTGCCAGGGGTCCCAACACCTGTGTATAATGTGCCAGGGGTCCCAACACCTGTGTATAATGTGTCAGGGGTCCCAACACCTGTGTATAATGTGTCAGGGGTCCCAACACCTGTGTATAATGTGCCAGGGGTCACAACACCTGTGTATAATGTGCCAGGAGTCCCAACACCTGTGTATAATGTGCCATGGGTCCCAACACCTGTGTATAATGTGCCAGGGGTCCCAACACCTGTGTATAATGTGCCAGGGGTCCCAACACCTGTGTATAATGTGCCAGGGGTCCCAACACCTGTGTATAATGTGCCAGGGGTCCCAACACCTGTGTATAATGTGCCAGGGGTCCCAACACCTGTGTATAATGTGCCAGGGGTCCCAACACCTGTGTATAATGTGCCAGGGTCACAACACCTGTGTATAATGTGTCAGGGGTCCCAACACCTGTGTATAATGTGCCAGGGGTCCCAACACCTGTGTATAATGTGTCAGGGGTCCCAACACCTGTGTATAATGTGCCAGGGGTCCCAACACCTGTGTATAATGTGCCAGGGGTCCCAACACCTGTGTATAATGTGCCAGGGGTCACAACACCTGTGTATAATGTGTCAGGGGTCCCAACACCTGTGTATAATGTGTCAGGGGTCCCAACACCTGTGTATAATGTGCCAGGGGTCCCAACACCTGTGTATAATGTGTCAGGGGTCCCAACACCTGTGTATAATGTGCCAGGGGTCCCAACACCTGTGTATAATGTGTCAGGGGTCCCAACACCTGTGTATAATGTGCCAGGGGTCCCAACACCTGTGTATAATGTGTCAGGGGTCCCAACACCTGTGTATAATGTGCCAGGGGTCCCAACACCTGTGTATAATGTGCCAGGGGTCACAACACCTGTGTATAATGTGTCAGGGGTCCCAACACCTGTGTATAATGTGCCAGGGGTCCCAACACCTGTGTATAATGTGTCAGGGGTCCCAACACCTGTGTATAATGTGCCAGGGGTCCCAACACCTGTGTATAATGTGCCAGGGGTCCCAACACCTGTATATAATGTGCCAGGGGTCCCAACACCTGTGTATAATGTGCCAGGAGTCCCAACACCTGTGTATAATGTGCCAGGGGTCCCAACACCTGTGTATAATGTGCCAGGGGTCCCAACACCTGTGTATAATGTGCCAGGGGTCCCAACACCTGTGTATAATGTGCCAGGGGTCACAACACCTGTGTATAATGTGTCAGGGGTCCCAACACCTGTGTATAATGTGCCAGGGGTCCCAACACCTGTGTATAATGTGTCAGGGGTCCCAACACCTGTGTATAATGTGCCAGGGGTCCCAACACCTGTGTATAATGTGCCAGGGGTCACAACACCTGTGTATAATGTGTCAGGGGTCCCAACACCTGTGTATAATGTGCCAGGGGTCCCAACACCTGTGTATAATGTGCCAGGGGTCCCAACACCTGTGTATAATGTGTCAGGGGTCCCAACACCTGTGTATAATGTGTCAGGGGTCCCAACACCTGTGTATAATGTGCCAGGGGTCCCAACACCTGTGTATAATGTGCCAGGGGTCCCAACACCTGTGTATAATGTGTCAGGGGTCCCAACACCTGTGTATAATGTGCCAGGGGTCCCAACACCTGTGTATAATGTGCCAGGGGTCCCAACACCTGTGTATAATGTGCCAGGGGTCCCAACACCTGTGTATAATGTGTCAGGGGTCCCAACACCTGTGTATAATGTGCCAGGGGTCCCAACACCTGTGTATAATGTGTCAGGGGTCCCAACACCTGTGTATAATGTGCCAGGGGTCCCAACACCTGTGTATAATGTGCCAGGGGTCCCAACACCTGTGTATAATGTGCCAGGGGTCCCAACACCTGTGAATAATGCAACACCCTACCCTGCCCCCCCTCCTTTACTCCCCTGCCTCCCCCTACCCCCCCCCCCCCCACCTCCCTTACACTCCCCTACCCCCCCCCCCCCCTCCCTAATAGCTCGATTCTGCAGATACAAATAGTAAAAAAACACACACAGGCAGGCAGGTGTGTACACACACAGGTAGGCAGGTGTGTATACACACAGGTAGGCAGGTGTGTACACACACAGGTAGGCAGGTGTGTACACACACAGGTAGGCAGGTGTGTACACACACAGGTGAGCAGGTGACACACACAGGTGGGCAGGTGTGTACACACACAGGTGGGCAGGTGTGTACACACACAGGTAGGCAGGTGTGTACACACACAGGTAGGCAGATGTGTACACACACAGGTAGGCAGGTGTGTACACATACAGGCAGGCAGGTGTGTACACACACAGGTAGGCAGGTGTGTACACACACAGGTAGGCAGGTGTGTACACACACAGGTAGGTAGGTGTGTACACACACACAGGTAGGTAGGTGTGTACACACACACAGGTAGGCAGATGTGTACACACACAGGTAGGCAGATGTGTACACACACAGGTAGGCAGGTGTGTACACACACAGGCAGGCAGGTGTACACACACAGGCAGGCAGGTGTACACACACAGGTAGGCAGGTGTACCCACACAGGTAGGCAGGTGTACACACACAGGAAGGCAGGTGTACACACACAGGTAGGCAGGTGTACACACACAGGCAGGCAGATGTGAACACACACAGGTAGGCAGGTGTGTACACACACAGGTAGGCAGGTGTACACACACAGGAAGGCAGGTGTGTACACACACAGGAAGGCAGGTGTGTACACACACAGGTAGGCAGGTGTACACACACAGGTAGGCAGGTGTGTACACACACAGGTAGGCAGGTGTACACACACAGGTAGGCAGGTGTGTACACACACAGGTAGGCAGGTGTGTACACACACAGGTAGGTAGGTGTGTACACACACACAGGTAGGCAGATGTGTACACACACAGGTAGGCAGATGTGCACACACACAGGTAGGCAGGTGTACACACACAGGCAGGCAGATGTGAACACACACAGGTAGGCAGGTGTGTACACACACAGGTAGGCAGGTGTGTACACACACAGGTAGGCAGGTGTGTACACACACAGGTAGGCAGGTGTGTACACACACAGGTAGGCAGGTGTGTACACACACAGGTAGGCACACACAGGTAGGCAGGTGTGTACACACACAGGTAGGCAGGTGTGTACACACACAGGTAGGCAGGTGTGTACACACACAGGTAGGCAGATGTGTACACACACAGGTAGGCAGATGTGTACACACACAGGTAGGCAGGTGTACACACACAGGCAGGCACATGTGAACACACACAGGTAGGCAGGTGTGTACACACACAGGTAGGCAGGTGTGTACACACACAGGTAGGCAGATTTGTACACACACAGGTAGGCAGGTGTGTACACACCAGACTCCAACACAGTAAACGCCTCATAATGTGTTAGCGGAACACTGTAACTCATAGTTATAAGTTCTTATTTAACACTCATTAATGTTTCTTGCTATAATTTATATTAGATCCAGGCGTGGGGGGGCGGGGCAGGCGTGGGGAGGGGGCAGGGCAGGTGTGGGGGGGGCGGGGCAGGTGTGGGGGGGGGGGCTGGGTAGGTGTGGGGGGGCGGGGCAGGCGTGGGGAGGGGGGGCGGGGCAGGCGTGGGGAGGGGGGGGGGCGGGGCAGGCGTGGGGAGGGGGGGGGCGGGGCAGGCGTGGGGAGGGGGGGGGCGGGGCAGGCGTGGGGAGGGGGGGCGGGGCAGGCGTGGGGAGGGGGGCGGGGCAGGCGTGGGGAGGGGGGGCGGGGCAGGCGTGGGGAGGGGGGGCGGGGCAGGCGTGGGGAGGGGGGAGCGGGGCAGGCGTGTGCAGGCGTGGGGAGGGGGGCGGGGCAGGCGTGGGGAGGGGGCGGGGCAGGCGTGGGGAGGGGGGCAGGGGGGAGCAGGCGTGGGGAGGGGGGGCGGGGCAGGCGTGGGGGGGGGGGGGGGCAGGCGTGGGGAGGGGGGGGGCGGCAGGCAGGCGTGGGGTGCGGCAGGCGTGGGGTGCGGCAGAACAGGCGTGGGGTGCGGCAGGAGACAGGCGTGGGGTGCGGCAGGAGACGCAGGCGTGGGGTGCGTGGGGTGCGGCAGGAGACGCAGGCGTGGGGTGCGGCAGGAGACGCAGGCGTGGGGTGCGGCAGGAGACGCAGGCGTGGGGTGCGGCAGGAGACGCAGGCGTGGGGTGCGGCAGGAGACGCAGGCGTGGGGTGCGGCAGGAGACGCAGGCGTGGGGTGCGGCAGGAGACGCAGGCGTGGGGTGCGGCAGGAGACGCAGGCGTGGGGTGCGGCAGGAGACGCAGGCGTGGGGTGCGGCAGGAGACGCAGGCGTGGGGTGCGGCAGGAGACGCAGGCGTGCGGCAGGAGACGCAGGCGTGGGGTGCGGCAGGAGACGCAGGCGTGGGGTGCGGCAGGAGACGCAGGCGTGGGGTGCGGCAGGAGACGCAGGCGTGGGGTGCGGCAGGAGACGCAGGCGTGGGGTGCGGCAGGAGACGCAGGCGTGGGGTGCGGCAGGAGACGCAGGCGTGGGGTGCGGCAGGAGACGCAGGCGTGGGCAGGAGACGCAGGCGTGGTGCGGCAGGAGACGCAGGCGTGGGGTGCGGCAGGAGACGCAGGCGTGGGGTGCGGCAGGAGACGCAGGCGTGCGGTGCGGCAGGAGACGCAGGCGTGGGGTGCGGCAGGAGACGCAGGCGTGGGGTGCGGCAGGAGACGCAGGCGTGGGCAGGAGACGCAGGCGTGGGGTGCGGCAGGAGACGCAGGCGTGGGGTGCGGCAGGAGACGCAGGCGTGGGGTGCGGCAGGAGACGCAGGCGTGGGGTGCGGCAGGAGACGCAGGCGTGGGGTGCGGCAGGAGACGCAGCGTGGGGTGCGGCAGGAGACGCAGGCGTGGGGTGCGGCAGGAGACGCAGGCGTGGGGTGCGGCAGGAGACGCAGGCGTGGGGTGCGGCAGGAGACGCAGGCGTGGGGTGCGGCAGGAGACGCAGGCGTGGGGTGCGGCAGGAGACGCAGGCGTGGGGTGCGGCAGGAGACGCAGGCGTGGGGTGCGGCGGGACAGGCGGGGGGTGCGGCAGGAGAGGCCGCACGCCCCGCTCGATACCCTCACCTGGAACACAAATCAGCCCCACCATCACCAGCAGGCTACACTAACACACTCCCAAGCAACACCGTCTGCAACACACTTCGCAAGCCAATGTGTAAACATTTGCAAGTGCACACAGACGGTAGGAGGTGGTGCCGCGGCCCTCCACCACCCAGGCGCCGCTGCCTCCCACCTGCCGCAGCCTGCCGCAGGTATAAGCCCGCCCCAGCAAGCGGGGAGCCTGCCGCGGGTACCCTCCACCACCCAGGCGCCGCTGCCTCCCACCTGCCGCAGCCTGCCGCAGGTAAAAGCCCGCCCCAGCAAGCGGGGAGCCTGCCGCGGGTAATCTAAGAGCCAGGAGCTTACGGCTGACGGAGCTCTTAAGTAACGAGGTGCCTCGTACCGCCAGGTGGCCAAGAGTTGCGACAGGAAAGCTCTTTACGCTCGCGTGAGAAGCACTAATCACTTGCAACCCGCGCGCGGTTCTGCTTCGCGCTCAAACTAAAATTATGTTTTTGGGTACAAAGCCTTTAATGTGAAACGAGGATTTCTTTTTACCTTTTTTTCTGCCTTAAGACAATGGACGATTCCTGCAAGATATCATGTGGTGGTAGACGGTGGACCGGAGGCTTCGAAGTCCCTTTATGAGCTACGAACTCCGTCTAAGACTCGAGTACTGGAGCCATAAGGTTACTCAACTGTCACCTTCTCTGAGAGAGAGAAGGGGTGACAGCCTGTAGGTGAGCTCTTCAGACATGGTCGCATCAGCAGGTGGATGGGGCCCCCACGCCTAGCCTGCCACCATACCTCCAGGTGGATGGGGCTCCACGCCTTGCCTGCCACCATACCTCCAGGTGGATGGGGCTCCACGCCTTGCCTGCCACTATACCTCCAGGTGGATGGGGCTCCACGCCTTGCCTGCCACCATACCTCCAGGTGGATGGGGCTCCACGCCTTGCCTGCCACGCCACCATACTTCCAGGTGGATGGGGCCCCACGCCTTGCCTGCCACCATACACCAGTTGGATGGCCTCCACGCCTTGCCTGCCACCATACACCAGTTGGATGGCCTCCACGCCTTGCCTGCCACCATACACCAGTTGGATGGCCTCCACGCCTTGCCTGCCACCATAGCAGCAGTTGGTCACAGCCGCCGGTCAAGCCGGCACCATCTCAAACACTTGAAGGTACATGATGAGAGTGTAGGCGATCATCAGCGCTCCGTCCATCAAGCACATCATCACCATTAGCGGCCCACCATGGCGGCCGCTAGTCCGGGGCGCCCACCACCACCAATATGGCCCACAGTCACGATATCAACACTCACTCACGCTCCCACACTCTCCCCTCTCACCCTGCGACGCCTGGCCTCCTCAACTCAACCATTTCTTTCCTGTGAAAAGTCCTCCTCTGTGAGTCGTATTGAAGAAGTGATCAACATTCACTGATAGGGGCTTCGTAGCCTGGTGGATAGCGCGCAGGACTCGTAATTCTGTGGCGCGGGTTCGATTCCCGCACGAGGCAGAAACAAATGGGCAAAGTTTCTTTCACCCTGAATGCCCCTGTTACCTAACAGTAAATAAGGTACCTGGGAGTTAGTCAGCTGTCACGGGCTGCTTCCTGGGGGTGGAGGCCTGGTCGAGGACCGGGCCGCGGGGACACTAAAGCCCCGAAATCATCTCAAGATAACCTCAAGATCTCAAGATAACCCACAATTGATGAAGGTGCGATAACCACCAATTGCCGCAATTCACTAACTTAGTGCTACTGTTTTCATGCAAGACTACCCTTTATTGCTTCACTCAGGGCCTTGCTACAAGGAGTTATAGTTATCTTGTGATTCTATGTATCTTGTGATCTTACTTCTTAGCACGCTTTCAAAGATTTTTATGATGTGTGATGTTCGTGTTATCGGTGTGTAATTTTTTTTTTGACTCTTGCCTTATTTCGTCTTTTATGGTATGGTGTTATCTCTGCTGCTTTTAATATGTCAGAGATAACACCCTGAGAGGTAAGGTAAGGTGAGACCAATGTTTTATGAGGTCTTCCTGGACATCTTCCAGGAGACGTAGTCATGGACTTGAAGAAAACTTTGATGCACAGAAAATTCCTCCTCCTCCTGTGTTTGATCAAGCATACGAGTATCTAGTTATAGTGCAGTTATAGTGTAGTATCTAGTTATAGTGAAGTTATAGTGTAGTATCTAGTTATAGTGAAGCTAGTTGAGTTAGTGTAGAGTTCAGCCAGTTACTTACCGGGACAGAGAGCTTGTGCACATGTAACATTTTAATACAAGTGGTTACAAAGCGTCCCATGGATGACCCAGCCATCACTGACCCTCTCAAACACGCGCACGAAACTCTACGGTAATCACTCACCACATTTGATTATCACTTGCCCCTTCTATCTTGAGGTTATCTTGAGATGATTTCGGGGCTTTTTAGTGTCCCCGCGGCCCGGTCCTCGACCAGGCCTCAACCCCCCCCCCAGGAAGCAGCCCGTGACAGCTGACTAACACCCAGGTACCTATTTTACTGCTAGGTAACAGGGGCATAGGGTGAAAGAAACTCTGCCCATTGTTTCTCGCCGGCGCCCGGGATCGAACCCAGGACCACAGGATCACAAGTCCAGCGTGCTGTCCGCTCAGCCGACCGACCCCCTTAGTCCAACTACAGGAAGTATCCAACTGCCTCAACCCTAATTACTGTATTTATTAACTGGGTAATTATATTCCTTTATACACAAGGCGACGGTAAGGGCAGGCGAGAGGTATGATGGTATGAGAACAAATGTCCTCCTAAGACTCCCCAAACGTCAAGAAACTGACGTACTAGAGTGCCCTTATCCTAACCCACCAAGAGGACCTAAAACAGAAAACGGGACAGTAACCATTGAGCTGATGTGTGTTATTTCAGTGTGTCAATTTCGCGAGCCGCTGCCATATTTCTGGCACGACAATGTTTGGCCTTAGAGTATACGTCCATAATGCGACGTTCTATTAGGATACAGTCCCGGGGTGACGCAGGCTCTAATACACACAGCCCCGGGGTGACGCAGGCTCTAATACACACAGCCCCGGGGTGACGCAGGCTCTAATACACACAGCCCCGGGGTGACGCAGGCTCTAATACACACAGCCCCGGGGTGACGCAGGCTCTAATACACACAGCCCCGGGGTGACGCAGGCTCTAATACACACAGCCCCGGGGAGACGCAGGCTCTAATACACAGTCCCAGGGTGACGCAGGCTCTAATACACAGTCCCGGGGTGACGCAGGCTCTAATACACAGTCCCGGGGTGACGCAGGCTCTAACACACAGTCCCGGGGTGACGCAGGCTCTAATACACAGTCCCGGGGTGACGCAGGCTCTAATACACAGTCCCGGGATGACGCAGGCTCTAATACACAGTCCCAGGGTGACGCAGGCTCTAATACACAGTCCCGGGGTGACGCAGGCTCTAATACTCACACACAGTCCCGGGGTGACGCAGGCTCTAATACTCACACACAGTCCCGGGGTGACGCAGGCTCTAATACACACACACAGTCCCGGGGTGACGCAGGCTCTAATATACAGTCCCAGGGTGACGCAGGCTCTAATACACAGTCCCAGGGTGACGCAGGCTCTAATACACAGTCCCAGGGTGACGCAGGCTCTAATACACAGTCCCGGGGTGACGCAGGCTCTAATACACACACAGTCCCGGGGTGACGCAGGCTCTAATACACACAGTCCCGGGGTGACGCAGGCTCTAATACACACAGTCCCAGGGTGACGCAGGCTCTAATACACAGTCCCAGGGTGACGCAGGCTCTAATACACAGTCCCAGGGTGACGCAGGCTCTAATACACACAGTCCCAGGGTGACGCAGGCTCTAATACACACAGTCCCGGGGTGACGCAGGCTCTAATACTCACACACAGTCCCGGGGTGACGCAGGCTCTAATACACAGTCCCGGGGTGACGCAGGCTCTAATACACAGTCCCGGGGTGACGCAGGCTCTAATACACAGTCCCGGGGTGACGCAGGCTCTAATACACAGTCCCGGGGTGACGCAGGCTCTAATACACAGTCCCGGGGTGACGCAGGCTCTAATACACACACACAGTCCCGGGGTGACGCAGGCTCTAATACACACAGTCCCGGGGTGACGCAGGCTCTAATACACACAGTCCCGGGGTGACGCAGGCTCTAATACACACACACAGTCCCGGGGTGACGCTGGCTCTAATACACACACACAGTCCCGGGGTGACGCAGGCTCTAATACACAGTCCCGGGGTGACGCAGGCTCTAATACACACAGTCCCAGGGTGACGCAGGCTCTAATACACAGTCCCGGGGTGACGCAGGCTCTAATACACACACAGTCCCAGGGTGACGCAGGCTCTAATACACACACACAGTCCCAGGGTGACGCAGGCTCTAATACACAGTCCCGGGGTGACGCAGGCTCTAATACACAGTCCCGGGGTGACGCAGGCTCTAATACACAGTCCCGGGGTGACGCAGGCTCTAATACACACAGTCCCGGGGTGACGCAGGCTCTAATACACACAGTCCCGGGGTGACGCAGGCTCTAATACACAGTCCCAGGGTGATGCAGGCTCTAATACACACAGCCCCAGGGTGACGCAGGCTCTAATACACAGTCCCAGGGTGACGCAGGCTCTAATACACACACACAGTCCTGGGGTGACGCAGGCTCTAATACACAGTCCCGGGGTGACGCAGGCTCTAATACACACAGTCCCAGGGTGACGCAGGCTCTAATACACACAGCCCCGGGGTGACGCAGGCTCTAATACACAGTCCCGGGGTGACGCAGGCTCTAATACACACAGTCCCGGGGTGACGCAGGCTCTAATACACACACACAGTCCCGGGGTGACGCAGGCTCTAATACACAGTCCCCGGGTGACGCAGGCTATAATACACACAGTCCCGGGGTGACGCAGGCTCTAATACACAGTCCCAGGGTGACGCAGGCTCTAATACACACAGCCCCGGGGTGACGCA